GAGGTCATCTGTGGGTCCTGTTTCTACTGACTTGTTTTCCTCTTGACTGTAGGTCACACTCTTCTCCTCCTCCATGTGCCTTATGTTTATTGTTTGGACAATGTGTGTGAAAGAACAGCGGGGACTGGAGCAGGCAATGCTCACGCCTATAAAAGGCCCCAGTCCCAGAAAGAACGCTGCTAAGTCTGGGCTGCGGATAATCAGTCATGTACCTGATATGACAGTGATCGCAATGAGCACAAGTTTAGAAAAAGGGATTAAAAACCTTTAAAATCTTCCCTCAAAGTTTTTAGATGACAATTCAGTCTAAGTCAAAACAATCAGAAACGCACTTACAAATCACTTCAGACGTGTTACCCGAGCCCACAAACTCACGTAAGGGAAGGACACAGAAGATGAGACCAGAGAGGTCTGGCGGCCTGAGCGCACACTCAGACGCGCTGACTCTCCAGCCTTGCTCTCGGGACCTACTCAGCATTTAAGTCCTGCTCCGTTGCAGGCCGTCCAGGGCCAGGAGAAACAAGCAGCATTTCTCGTCACGACTCCTGTGACGCCCGCAAGGAAGGCTGCCTGACGCTCCAGGCCAAGTGACGGGAGTCGAGGAAGCGTCTGAATCCCCAGCAACCCTGCCTTCGTGGGGAAGGGGTTCTTATTACATACCTGCCTCCAACTCTACGGCTGACAGAACTTTCACCCTACGCTTTCACAAGTGCACATGACTTCTCGCCTCCATTCGTGGCTTTCTATTTTTATCCACAAGAAATGCAAACACTTATCTCAGTTTGAAGCAGTAAATTTCTAAAAATTCATGCTGTTTCTTCCAGTCAACTCTAATACATTTTCTCTTAAATTCCCCTTAACCCAGCATTAGCCTGCATGGAAATGAACTTGTGATCTATTTTTCTCGTATTTATTGCATTTAAATCATCTTTTCCCCTCTAAGATCCCATTTGGCTAAAAATATCCAAGAAATCTTTTCAGTGCATGTCTTCAAAATATTTAAGTCTCTATTCTGAGTAGAACTGCACTCGGTATAATCGAACACAACTCCTCATTTCAGATCCAACTGCATAAAGCAAAGGGCTGCATTGCAAGCCCTCTGGGAAGACCTGTTTTGTCGATTTGGAATTTGGTTTCATAAGAGACATAATATGTACCATAAGGAGACATAATATTACTAAAATAGTAATCACTAATTAAAATCTGAGAGGAAAACAGACTTTCTCATTTATACAAGTGCTCAAAATATAGAAATTAATGGAAAATAAATTTTGTAATAGTTTTTTTAAAAGAGACTCATGTTTAAAATTAATGGAGTCCCAGAAATGTATACCATTTGTAAAAATGATCTTAGCTTTTTGTGAGGTTTGATGACTTGCAAGACATAAGAAATTGAAAAAAAAAAAAGCCAAAAAGGACCAGATATGTAAGTACCAATTTTATACATGAATTTATGACGGTGCCCCCACAACAAAGAAATATACACGTGTCCAACAGCAAGATAATGGTTAACAGTGGTATATCAATATAATACAGTAATCTCTAGCTATTAAAAAATGTGTCTTAGAAGAATTAACAAAGACATTTGTTACATATCAAGTGTGTATAGGCTATCAAACCATATTAGGAGACACCATTTTTATAAAGATGTATATACTAAGCATTATAAGTGATTTCCTCTGATTAACAGAAATGTTGTAATTTTTTTCCCTTTTGCTAAATTCTCTATCTCATTAGTGCCATCAGATACAACCAAAAACCTTGGGGCAAAGGGTTCACCGAAGGTCTCACTCCTTTCCTTATGACATCGTGGGGGGCCTTCTTAAGAAAGAAAAAGGAAGATAGCTGTTACCACAAGAACAAAGAGAAAGAAGTGGACGCCAGCCTGTGAGGTACTGGAAAGGATGTGCGTCATCCTTGGCACAAATGCCTGTTTCCTTTTTAAAGCAAATTACGTTAAAATTACATTATAATATCAGTAGGAATTTGATTGCAAGATAGTGTAATTTTAATTGAGCAACTAGCTGATAGGAGCAAGAGCAGGCAGATAATTAATGAGGGGAAATGATGAAAAAGCACTCCTGATGTAATGTTAACTGCTGCACTAAACTGTCATTATTTGAACAAAAAAAATCAACACCCCACTGCTGGTAAAGCAAGTAACATGCTATTTTTTTAAACTAAAGTAGAACTGAATAGATTAAAAAAAATAAATTTCTTCTGTATAGCACAGGGAACTATATTCACTATCTCATAATAGCCTTTAATTTAAAACAATGTGAAAATGAATATATGTATGTATATGCATGACTGGGACATTGTGCTGTACACCGGAAATTGACACGTTGTAACAGATGATACTTCAATTTTTTTAAAAAAGGTAAAAAGAAAAAAAAAGGAGAGTTGATTTACAATATTATTTTAGTTTCAGGTGTACAGTGCAGTGATTCAGTATTTTTACAGATTATACTCCATTAAAAGTTATTATAAGATAATGGCTACAATTCCCTGTGCTGCACAATATACCCTTGTTGCTTGTCTGTTTTATTCATAATAGCTTGTTCTCTTAAATCCCATACCCCTTTCTTGCCCCTCCTCTCTCCCCACTGGTAGCCACTAGCTTGTTTTCTGTATCTGTGAGTCTGTTTCTGGTTTGTATACACATTCATTCACCTTTTAGATTCCACACACAAGCGATATCATACAGTACTTGTCTTTCTTTGACTGACTTAAGTCATTGAGCGTAATATTCTCTAGGTCCATCCACTTTGCCACCCTGACCTCTCCAGTCCTGAATGACATTTCAGCAGCACATCCCGTAATAAACAAGCACATGCTCGGTGTCTTAGGTCAAACTTCCCAAAAGACGTGACTGACGGGCTGGTCTTCTCACTCCAGCCCCTGGTGTCTGACCCGCAGGCCCCATCTCCGGTGCACACTCCCACAGCACCTCTGCAGCGACTCCCAGCATCTTCTTCTTAAAGCTCCCAGATGATTGCAACAGAGACAGGGTGCGATTCGCTGAGCAGCCGGACGGAGCTGACTGTCCGTGAGGTGGGAACCCACCTGGGTCCACTCACGAGGCTGGAGCGGGTGTGCGTACAAAACGTGACCAGGCTCCAGTGCTGCCCTGCTTCCACTGCTGCTGTACCAATTTCCACAAACGTAGTGGAGTAAAACAACACAGAGTCACCTTCTCACAGCCCTGGAGTTGAGAAGCCTGAAAGGGGCATCACTGGGCTAAAGCCGAGGGGCTGGTGGAGCCACGCTCCTCAGGGAGGCTCCGGGGAAAGTCCATTTCCTTCCTTCTGCCATTTCCAGAGGTCACCCGCGTCCTTGGCCGGTGGCCTCTTCTCCCATCTTCAAAGCCAGCAAAGGCTGCTCCATCTTTCTCACGTCAGATCACTCCGACACTCCTTCCTCCACAGGTAAAGGGCCCCCGTGATGACACGGGGCCCACGTGGGTAACCTCCTCGGAGGGTAGCTGGCTAGCAGCCTCAACACCCCCGTGCCCTGCCACACAGCACATCCCAGATCCATGGATTAGGACGCGGACATCCTCTGAGGGGCTGTCACCATCCTGCCTACGTGTGGACTTCGTGGAATAAAACATACCGTGTGGGTAGTTTCACTTACAAGGGTCTGTGGCCAGGCAGGGACCATGGACAAGACCGGCGTAACACTGGACTGAATATTACAGCACAAGGCGAGGTGTGATCATTAAAACTTGAACAAGTCATGCTGGTTTTCATCACTTGGACTCTATGCCAAGAGCCATAAAAACAAGAGACTAAAGCATTCTTACAAAAGTATATGAATGCAAACAGAAGCATTTCTACCCTTCAGTAATTTACAAAGGATCCCCCATGTTTATATGAGTTTGTACATTTTATCAACAACCACTACCAACAATCAACTATAATTAGTTCACATTTCAAGAGAAATCTATTTTAAAACCCATTTTAAGTATTTGCCAAGTTACTTTTGCCTTAGCCAATGGTTGTCGATACATCAAAATATATCAATAATGATGCAGTGCAATTCTTTTAAAGAAAAAAATACTCATAGTGTTTCTTCTTCAAAATAAATAAAAATA